TAATTTATTATCTATTAAAAAATTATTAGATTTTTCATCCTTAAATCTTTTTAAATTTAATTTGTATATCAAGACTTATTTTCAAATTGTGCTTCTATACCTCACCCTCCTTGTACTACCGTCCTCTGCTTTCCTTGGAATCTAGATTTCATTTCACAACATTCTAAGTAAATGGGTCGATTGGAGATTTTAGTTCCTAATTTCATGGCTCGGGTGCTTACTTTCCTAATGTGTCGGAGATCTCTATCTCAGTCAAATGACACATGTCCTTCTTTCCCAGTTTGTTGGATTATGGAGGCAATGGAAATAAATGGTGAATCAAATTAATTAATGGAATAATAAAACCTTTTTTACTAGGCACTGGCAGTTACTCCTTCGCCCTCGCTCTGCTGTATAAAAAAAAACATTCCTTTAGTTGCGGTCAAGAACAAAACTGTTAACTCTCTGTCTCTTGAATACTGCATTTTCCTTGAACCTTTGATTTTCCCGGAAAAGGAAACACTGAAATAAGAAAAAACACTGACTCAGGGCTTTCACAATGAGATGGCATTCCTTCTACACCAGAGCCTCTCAGGCTTTTCACGACCATCCTACCATCTCCAAAATTCTCATCGTTTTCACTCTCAGGTTTCAACCAACCCTTTTCTTTTCTGTCGCTTGCAATAGTCAGAGATAGAGATCTAATTTTCCTGTTGTTACTTCAATTATATTTGTTGAATAATGTTCGAAGAGAAGTCATTGTGATTACACCAGAAGCAAAATAAGAAACTGATATAGTTAATTAGTGAATGTGGATATATATATGTAAATGCAGGGAATTATTAACTTTTTTTCCATCAACTAATGAAGAAGGAAACCAAAAGAAAAGGGTCGGTAGGTAAATTTCTTCAAGATGTCCAAATTTTTGAGAGATTTGGATGAATGGATTTGATCTCTTGAGCAAAACCGTTCATAGATTTTATATCTTCATTTAGTAACTATATATGTGTGTAATTTCCTTTATAATGGAGAATGCATATAACATTGTTACGATCTGCAGTGGCGGTGGACTGGTGGCATCTTCTAATGGCAGATTGCTGTATCCTTCTGCATATGCTGATGCAGTCCAACAAGATGACTGCAAGAAGAAGAAGGTGGTGGTGCTTGGAACAGGATGGGCTGGTACCAGCTTTCTGAAGAACCTTAAGAGCTCCTCTTATGATGTTCATGTTATTTCTCCTCATAATTACTTTGCCTTCACCCCTTTGCTTCCCAGTGTCACTTGCGGCACAGTCGAAGCACGCAGCATCGTTGAACCAATTCGTACTATCACAAAGAAGGTATTGGTAGTCAAATTCGTTTTTTAAGTTAGAATTTAGTTTAATTTTTGATGTCTAACTTAAGAGTTGAAACTTTTGGATATAGTAGTGATTTGACCGTTTCTCTGTTCTTTTTCACATTCTTTTGTCAAGATTAACTCAACTCCTTTGATGTTTTGCACTGCAGAAAGGTTTGGGTATTAAATTTAGGGAAGCTGAGTGCTATAAGATAGATGCAGAGAAGAAGGTGGTGTTCTGTCGATCAAGTCAAAACACGAATTTGGGTGGCAGAGAAGAATTTTCTGTAGACTACGACTATCTGATAATAGCCATGGGAGCTAAATCCAACACTTTTAACACCCCTGGAGTTGAGGAATATGCTCACTTCTTGAAGGTATTTGGAGAAACATGAATGTGAATGTCTTGGACCATGAAATGGCTTTGATATATTAAAGATTCACTCTGTATAACAAACTGAAATAAATTGAAAACTATTACATAGGGAGTGGAAGATGCTCAGAGGATTCGTCAGACTGTAATTGATTGTTTCGAGCGAGCCAGCCTTCCAAATCTTAGTGAAGAAGAGAAGAAGAGAACTCTTCACTTTGTAATAGTTGGAGGTGGTCCAACTGGGGTGGAATTTGCCGCAGAGCTTCATGATTTTGCAGTTGAGGACTTAGGAGTGTTGTATCCTTCATTGAAAGACTATGTGAAAATAACCCTCCTAGAGGCAGGGGATCATATTTTGAACATGTAAGGGCGTTGTTTTCTGTTTTTCTTTTGGTTTTCTGTTATATGGTTGGTTACTTTGCAGCATCAAATTCATGGCACTTGTTTTACAGGTTTGACAAGAGGATTACTGCCTTTGCTGAAGAAAAATTTCAAAGAGATGGGATTAGTGTAAAAACTGGTTCCATGGTGGTAAAAGTAAGTGACAAGGAAATCTCCACCAAAGAAAGAACAACTGGTGAATTTGTGTCTGTTCCTTATGGAATGGTCGTGTGGTCCACCGGCATTGGCCCTCGTCCTCAAGTCGTCGATTTCATGAAGCAGATTGGTCAGACTAACAGAAGAGCTTTGGCGACCGATGAGTGGCTAAGGGTTGAAGGATGTGATGACGTCTATGCTCTTGGTGATTGTGCTACCATAAATCAAAGAAGAGTCATGGTAATGGGAGATTGAATTTCACTCTATTTGCTGCTTCACTTTCATAGATATTTCTTCTTGATAACCTGTTACTTTTGCAGGAAGATATTGCAGTAATATTCAGTAAGGCAGACAAGAACAAGTCAGGAACTTTAGGCCTGCAAGATTTTCAAGAAGTGGTAGGTGATATCTGTGAGAGGTACCCTCAAGTAGCGCTCTATCTGAAGAGGAATCAAATGAAGAACTTTGCAGCTTTGTTGAAGAAGTCACAATCGGACGCACAGAATCATACGGCTGAACTGGATATCGAAACCTTTAAATCCGTACTTTCTGAAGTTGATTCTCAGATGAAAAATCTGCCTGCTACTGCTCAAGTGAACTACTCATACATGCTAATTTTGGCTTTGCAAATCCCTTATTCCAGTGCTGCTTCAACTATTATATTCAGGCTTATTTTATCTTTGGGAATTCTTGTAGGTGGCTGCTCAACAAGGTGAATATCTTGCAAGCTGCTTCAACCGGATGGAGCAGTGTGAAAAGTACCCTGAAGGCCCTCTCCGATTTAGAGGGACTGGACGCCACCGGTTCCATCCTTTCAGGTAAAAACCATGGATAAACCAACCAGATCATATGAGTGAGTTTTTAGTATTGGCAGACTGAAAATTTGGTGTTTCTTGTGGAAAGGTATAAGCATTTTGGGCAGTTTGCTCCTCTGGGGGGAGAACAAGCTGCAGCTCAACTACCTGGAGATTGGATCTCAATTGGTCACAGCAGCCAGTGGCTTTGGTACTCCGTTTATGCAAGGTGATTGGGTGATTGATTCTATTTCATAAATTCCACAAACCAGAAACATGATTTGATGAAGCTTACATAAACGATATAATTGCTGCTGTCTGATGTTTTTTGCTTATGCAATTTTTACAGCAAGCTAGTAAGCTGGCGCACAAGGTTTCTGGTCATCTCAGATTGGGGTAGAAGATTCATCTTCGGCAGAGATTCGAGCAGAATCTGATATCTCCTTTAAGAAACAGCCTCAGTTAAACTTCTGATTTTATTAAAGTTGTTAAACATTCATATCCCAATTTTGTTATGCTTTAATTGCAGTTCGAATTTAAATTTTGGCACTCATGTAGGTCTTGTTGAGGTTATAGAAAAAGTTACTGATATTCATCATCCTGAAAAGCGAAAGCTCGATCTTTTATTTAATTTGCACAAACACAAGTCTACAAAGAAGAAGTTCTTCCTGTTTGGCTGTTTCCATAACAGGGGTTATGGTTCACATAATGCTGAGATAAAAAATACCAAGGGTTTAAGAGAACACCAACACTTCCGCCGTTACCTCATTCTTCCTCCTCATCCTCAGCGAAATTCAACTTCTGACAGATCGATGCTTCCATCTCCTCATCAGCAAAAAAATTTGTCTTACTATCAATCAATTCAGCCACCCTCTTGGCCGGTCCCGAGTCCCTTGGGCTCTGATTCGCACAGCGAGTCGTCCTAATCCTTGGAAGCATATCCCCCACCTTGGAAACTGAAGATGCACAGTTTTCTTCCATTTCTTGTTGGAGAGCCATTATTTCACTCTCACTTGGGGTTTCCCACCGCTTCTTCACCCGGGTCTGCGGCGCCTTGCTCCGGCACAGCTCCGACGAAGACCGCCGCTTGTCATATCTGCTACTTCCGTCGTCTTTGCAGTTCCCCGGCAAAGACCTCTTACGATTCTCTGTGGCTACTGCTGAATTTTCGTTTGTCTGACTGTAACGGCTTGCTACAATTCTACCTGTCCTTATTGGTTTCTTCGCACTGGGGGGTACTGATTTTTCAACGTCTTTAATAAAGAGCTTCTTTGGCTGAATTAAATCGAGAACCCCATCTTTTTTCACCGCCCTTTTGGATACGACGGTGGTGGCTGGTTGCCGTACGCCTTGAGCCTTGATCAAAGTCCTCCGCGATTTTGGGCTAAGACTCATGCTGCTTCCTCTTCTGTTATTCCCCTTCTGTTCGTCAATGTCTAGTAATTTCGGAAGGCATGATTGCCGACGACTCTGCAACCGCTGAGCAGGAGTGAGTTCCGTCTTTCCTTGCCGCCGAGCTCCGACGCCGGCGTGTATTTCCGATGGCCCCAAACTGAGGCCTCTCTGACCAATCTTCGAGTCAATTAAAGCGTAATCAAACGTTTTGATCGCATCTGAATTTTTACCACTTACTTTCGGCTCAATTGATTTCAAGGGCACAAATGTTCCACCTTTCTGGACTGTTGTTCTTGCCGCGTTCTGTCCTGCCTTTTCAATTTGAAGAGCTTTCAATCTCGTCGACAATCGGCTGATTTCCTTCTCCGTTTCCTCGATTTCCGCATCAATATTTCTCTCCTTACAAATCACGTCCTCCTCCTCCTCCTTCCTTTTCGCCGCATACAGCTTTGCCGAGACCATACCAGGCGTTTTCAGTGGCTTCCCTTGTGAATTTTCAATGACGCCATTGCGACTGAGCGGCTTTGCAGGAACAGAGTATTTGACAGAAGCAGGGGTCTTCAGACTCAGAGGGCACAAATTTTCTTTGCTGCAATCAGTCTGCAATTCGGAGGAGTGGTTCTTGTAGGAATCTTGCACAGTCGACCAAGAAAGAGTTCTAACAGTAGCCAAGACGTCGGATTCTCCATTGTCAAAGGCAGCATTGTTCCAGACCTGAATGTTTGGGGCTTCGATGTCATCTGGGTGATCAAGAAAACTCATCTTTATTAACTGGATGGGCGAATTTATGGAAAAATCAGCGCGCTTCCTGCAAAACAAAGAAAAATAACGGCCAAAGGAAGAGAATTTTTTGTTTCTTCGGTTCAAGTTTCAGCAACTCTAACACAATAAGCTGCAGATTGAGATCGAGAGGGATTGGGGAAATCTCTATATTTTTGAGTTTTCGACCGTTGGTGAAATATAGACGTTGGAAGGATGCGCTCTTCGTCTACGCGTGGTCTCCTGGCCGTTGGATTGGGAGGCCCTTGCGCTCCTTATCAATCGACAAAATTGGGGCCCGGCACCGTGAGACAACTGGACCAAGGTTTATTTAATCAGGCCCAATAACAATCTAATTTTAGTTTTTTTTTAATTATAAAAACTGCAATAACTATTTAATATGCTGTCCGCTAATAAAATAAAAAAAAAAGATATTGTATAATATTTCTCACGCAAATAATTAATAATCCAATCTAAAAGGATTTCAACTTTAATCGCAATGAATGAAAAATTCAAAAAGTTATAAGACTTAAAATTATAAACAATTCGATCTTTATGTAATTTATACTTATCATATACTAGTGGATGATAAGATCCACAAAAATAGATAATTTTGACACATGTTTAAAAAACTAACACTTTAATCTCTAACCTTCAAAAAAATAATTTAAAATCGTCTCTATAAAAAGGCTATCTACAAAATAAAAATTACTTTCTCTATCGTTTAATTTTTATATAGAAAAGAGTGGGAGAGTTATAGTAAAGAGTGCGGGAGTTCATTTTTGACTGTTAGTTATACGACATCTTACATCCAGAAAAGGTA